ATATATACCACATTTTCTTGATCCATTCATCTACTGAGGGGCATCTGGATTGGTTCCATATCTTAGCTATGGTAAATAATGCTGCAATAAACATTGTTGCCAGTACCCTATTTCTAACAAGAGGGCAAGAATTAAATTGTGGTTGAAGGGACAGCTGTAAGTGACACTCTTGGCCTTGCCACTTACCATTTGTAAATAAATTGCAAATAAATTGCATCTGTTTATTTCAGCTTCCTCAGCAGGGTGGGAATAATAGGACCTGAATTAGGATTGGATGAATTACAACAGCATATGCCACTCTAACTAATTTAGAGTCTGGCATAAACATAGACTCCTGAAGTATTGTTTGCCAATCATCTTATTGAATCCTGATGAAGATAACCAAGTCAGAGAAGCTAAATGACTTGTACATAGTCAGAAAAAGATCTTGAGTTTTCAGACATTGCTTTCTCTAATGTTGTACTATATCTAATAAATTCCAGGCAAAATTTTTTTTTATTGTGAAAATACTGTACAGAGGGGAAAATTGTTTTGTCAAATTTTACAAACTTGTAACATGTCATTGCTAGTCTTTTTTTTTTTTTTCTTTTAATGGCCCTTGGGTTTGAACTCTGGACCTGGCCGCTGTCCCTGAGCTAAGCTCAGGGGCAACATTCTACCACATAAGGCAAAGTGCCACTTCCAGGTTTTTTGAGTAGTTTATTGGAGATAAGTGTTTCATGAACTTTCCTGCCTGAGCTAGCTTCAAACCACAATCCTCAGATCTCAGCTTCTAAAGCAGGTAGGATTACAGGATTACAGCCACTGGCACCTGACTTTTGCTAGTCTTCTTTGAGTAACTGAATAAAGTATTTTGACTTGTGATGTGAGGTATTTGCTGAAGTCCTAAAAGTTTTTAGTTTATCACACCACTTAAAGATATGCAGAGGGTTTCTCCTAACTGCCGAGCTTAAAAAGTATGAAAAGTCTGCTGCTTTAGTTTATTTAGTATTGCCATTTTTTGTTTTATCTGGTGCTAGTGTTGCGACTTGAACTTAGTGCCTCTCACTTTTGTTTGGCTTTTTCCCTCAATGTTATTGCTCTACCAGTTGAACCACAGCTCTACTTCTGGTTTTTGCTGGTTAATTGGAGATTAAATAGTCTCATTGACTTTTTTGACCAGGGTGGCTTTGAACCATGATTCTCAAACCTCAGCTTCCTATGTAGGTAGGATAACTGATGTGAGCTACAGATGCCCAGTTGCATTACTTTTTAGTTCTTAGTTCTTACAACTAAGAACTTGGAAGCAACTACATTTGCTTTAAAATACTATAAACTGTGTTTTGTTGGTGTTATATCTTATAGTAATGAAAAATAAGCACATATGAGAGATCAGACATATAAATAGGGTTGAGATTTTTTTTTTCTATCAGTCGTGGGGCCTGAACTGTGGGCTTGGGCACTATCCCTCAGCTCTTCAGCTCAAGGCTAGTGCTCTACCACTTGAGCCACAGCACCACTTCCAGCTTTTTCTGCTTTGAACCCAGGACCTCATGCATGCAAGGCAAGCACTCTACCACTTAGCCACCTTCTCAGCCCTACGGTTGAGATTTTGTTCGTTCTTTTTTTCTTCTTGGTTTTTATAATTTGTTAAGCAATATGCTTTATACTTAAAAGTAGGTAAATTGCCAGGCACTGGTGGCAATTGATCCTAGCAACTCAGGAGGCAGAGCTCTGAAAATTGTGGTTTGAAGCCAGCCAGCACAGCAAAAGTTTGTGAGATTCTATTTCCAATTAATTATAAAAAAATTAAAGTGGAGCTGTGCCTTAACTGGTAGAATGCTAGCCTTGAGCAAAAAAGTTTAGGGATGGCATCCATGCCTTGAGTTCAAGCCCCAGGATTGGCACACACATACACATATAAACAATAGTTATTAAATTGAAGTCATTTCAAATGCTAGACTGAATACTAATCATATTTTTTCCCCTTAGAGCCATAACAAAAACAGGGGTAAGCTCAGAACTGCGAACTGAAGTGGAAGAGAATCAGAAGGTATTGATGGAACTTTCTACTCTGTGTCTTTTTGTTTTTTAAATTACTGATCCTCCTGCTTCACTCTTTAGATTTCTGGCATTACAAGCATGCACTACTCTATTTAAAACATTAAATCTGGATTTAATCAATAGTATTTAATAGTAGTAGTCTCTTTTTATCAGAGTTGGTGATAGTTGTTTATTCCTGGTGTGTGTGTGTGTGTGTGTGTGTGTGTGTGTGTGAACTGGGGCTTGAACGCAGGTCTGGTGTGTGTGTGTGTGTGTGTGTGTGTGTGTGTG